CTGTCAATAATTGAGAATTATTTCTAGTAAGGCATAGCACCAGGCATCACAGCAATGGAGAGTAAGGAATGTAGAGGTCAAAGGGAAAATTTAAATCAATTTCAGACATGCGTGCCACACACACACACACACACACACACACACACACACACACTGTAAAATCCACCTTGCAATCCCTTGTTACATCAACGATAATCCAGGGTGAGGAATTTAGATATTCCTGTGGCCATGCAGAGATGAGAGAAGATAATAATTGACAAGAGAGCACTTTTAATAGATTAGTTAATTCATTAATGTATTTATTTTAACTTTTACTTCTTTGAGATTTGGGAATAAAAATTCCAAAAGACAAGGGGATAGTGTGAATATTCATTGCCAAAATCATGCACCTGCTATCTCTTTGGAGAACTGGCTTTTCTCTTGTTCCTGAAAATTTGAACCTCACTACAAAAGTAAGGCTGAACTGGGCAACAAAACACTGTTAAGAAATCCCACAATTGTATTTAAATCATTTCTGTGAATAATAACTTTTTTTATTAAAAGTTTTAATGTTGACATTGTTGCAGATAGACATCCCCCTGTAGCCTCCTTTTTCCCACATTAACCTTCTCCCACACCCCCTCCCTTGGTCTTCACAAGTCTATTGTCCATACCCATGGGGTATGCATATATGCTCTTTAGCTAACACCCTTCCCTTCTTTATCCAGTCACCCCGCACCCACCTCCCCTCAGATACTGCCCAGTCTATTCCTTGTTTCTGGTTCCATTTTGTTCATCGATTATCTTTTTCATTAGATTTCACAATTCTCTCATCAAGTTATTTTTATTTCTTAAATCAAAGCAAGAATAGTAAAGTTGAAAGTAAGCTAATATGTATTTTTAAAATCATTTATTTCAATCACAGTGAGAGGCAAACAAAAATGAATCAACAGTATACTTGATGACTAATTATGTGCTAGCCATGAAAGAAATTACTGAAAATATTCTATGGTTTAATTTTCACAAAAATACATCA